ATTTGTTTCCACCCAAACCCAAATCTTAGATAAAAAATACTTGACTTAGACTCATCATTTAGCTCCTAGCAACAATCCAAACCTCCATCAAAGCAACAGAGACTAAAGATTAAGCAAGGGTCGATAAAGCCAAATTGCAGAATAAATTCCCCCCTGGACGGCTTATAACGTTGAGTCTAAGCCTGTACAATTTAGCAGCAAAGACAAGTTATTAATCACCACAAAAGGGAGCTGTTGGACGATTTAAGTTCACATCACATGAACCCCTTTCTTATACGTATAACATGTGAGCAGCGCACGGGGTGTTCACAGGCCTGCACTGTTTCCTTGTGATTCGCACCACAATCCTTAAGTACTCTCCCTAGTTCTTTCCCTCCCTCTTCTGAAATCTTCATTTTTCTGCATAACCTTCCTATCGATATACGCTTCATCATTTTGTTCATCGATTACAGTAATGCTTTTCCACTAGCAGTATGTTTTACAAACTCCAATGCGGAAACATGAAACATTCTCCTATTTTTGGTGGTTACTTGGCTTTCTTCTTTCTTCTAAGCGGTTCCTTGGCTGCTTCCTATGGTTCTCTCTCTCTCTCTCTCTCTCATTGGTATGACTGCTCAATTCTAATAGGATTTTGCAGAAAACTTAATTTTATGGGTTTTGTTTGTTGTTGCAGATGGGCCAGTATATGATTTTACTGCTTATACAGAGGTAAATTTTTTATATGTGAAAAAATTGTTTGTTGAAGAAATCATCATCTATTGACTATTGTGAAATGAGCGGTCTCAAATTATTTGATTCACACCATGTCAATGACACTTCATGTTATTGGTTTGCAGTGTAAAGCACAGCCGGAGGAGCCACTTTACCAGGGAGGGATGCTGAAAGATCAGCAGCCAGTTATGAGACGGTTCATTATTGGCGAGACTGCAACTGGTTTTTACACGCCAGCTTTTGTATTGAAGAATCTCACGCAGGGCAGCGTTTACTGTTTCTCCAGTTAGGTTTCTCCACTTCTCTTTCACTTCTGTTTCTTTGTAATGCTTTTTGAATACACTATGCTCTCAACTCTCAACGTATCATTGTTAGTGGCTTAGTTAATAGTTATCTGTCACAGTATCACCCGTGCCCGCAAAAAGTGACATTGTCCAAGGCTTGGATTTTTGGAAGATAAGTGACAGCCGACAAATCATTCAACATTACAACAATCAAAGGCAATGTGTTGTCCATACTTTACAGGGAATCTTGATGCATTGCTATGACCCCAGCTGAAGGACCATCCCTATTGTAGAGCCAATTGAATTTTGGCATTGACGAAAAAATTGAAAACTTCCTCTCATGTGAACATACTATGAATTGTACTCAAACTTCAGACGTCTCATTTAAAACATTTACAGGAGATAAAGAGTCGATTATATTATGCATTGGCTTATTATCTTGGTGCTTAACAGCTTGGGTCAGGATCCAAGGCGCCAATTCAGCTCTCATTAGGGCAAGCCTGAAGACAGAAAACAGAACATATGATTGTATAGGGTCTGTTTCAGCTAAGAGTGGATGCTGGTCATTTCTCAAGGGTGGATTCATTCTGGATTCACCTTCAAATTTAGCTTTACTACTATTTCAGGTGGATATGTATATTCCAAATATCATTTTCCTTTAGGTATATTGTTTCTATTTAGGCTTTTGCAGGCGGAGAATTGAACTTCAACTCATGAATAGAGTCCCACAAATGCTTCTTCTAAGACCTTTTTCTTGTGTTTTGGATTTGCAGAATTCAGATGATAAGGATATCGATATAACAATTGCTAGCTCCTCATTACAGCCATTTACTGATCAGGAATGGAGGATCAACCAGCAATACATAATTAACACTGTAATTAATGGTCACACTTTTCTCTCATTTCATATTTGATTCTCAATGTTTTTAAGCTTCTTTTTCCAGTTGAGTGTGAGAGTCAGACTTTGCGAAATGATTTGACAACAATGGAAATATCCAATCCTAACAACCTTTGTTAAGACAGAACTGCAAAATCTTCCAAAAGGCTTACATAAAAGCAGGTTTGCACTTTGCTATTGCGTTTATAACATTTAACAGAGGAACTGTTTGAACTTTTTCCAGCAAAGGAAGCGCGCTGTAACAATACATGTGTCAGACCAACAAGGAAATAGATTGCAAGGAGCGGAAATAACTGTGGATCAAGTCTCAAAAGATTTTCCATTTGGTTCTGCAATAGCAAGCACTATTCTTGGAAATTTGCCCTATCAGGTATATACAGCTTGTGAACTCAGTATCTTTTGCCATCATATGATGTATTATTAAGCACATCTTCAACAACTACTATAATGCTAGTTAATTGATCGTGTTTTCATTCTATCTTCCAGAGTTGGTTTGTTGAGCGATTTAATGCGGCAGTGTTTGAAAATGAACTCAAGTGGTATGCAACAGAACCTGATCAAGGGAAGACCAACTACACCATACCAGACCAAATGTTGGAATTTGTTCGAGCCCACCAAATAATAGCCAGAGGTCACAACATATTCTGGGAAGACCCCAAATACATACCAGCATGGGTTCGGAACCTTTCAGGTTCTGAGCTACAATCAGCAGTCAACTCCAGGATACAAAGCTTAATGAGCAAATACAAAGGAGAATTCATACACTGGGATGTTAGCAATGAGATGCTCCACTTTGATTTCTATGAGCAACGGCTTGGACCTGATGCAACCTTACATTTCTATGAGACTGCACATCAATCAGACCCATTAGCAACCCTTTTCATGAATGAATTTAATGTTGTGGAAACCTGCAGTGATGTGAAATCAACGGTTGACACCTACATTGAAGGGATAAGAGATCTCAAACAAGGAGGCATGTACATGGATGGAATTGGCTTGGAGAGTCATTTTACAGTACCGAACCCTGCTCTAATGAGAGCTGTGCTAGACAAATTGGCTACACTTGGACTCCCCATATGGCTTACGGAAGTAGATATTAGCAGCTCAGTTGGTGAAGAATTACAGGTGAACAAACAGAATTCTCAACATTACCAGAGGAAATATTTCACATTTTAGGCATTACTTCAAGGGCAAACTTTTGATGTTATCTTTCTTTTGTTTCCCTAACAGGCTATCTACCTAGAACAGGTACTAAGAGAAGGCTTTTCACATCCTTCAGTGAATGGGATAATGCTTTGGACCGCTCTCCATCCTAAAGGGTGCTACGAAATGTGCCTAACTGATAAAAATTTTAAAAACCTCCCAGCTGGTGATGTGGTTGACAACCTCTTGAAAGAATGGCAAACCAGGGAGATTAAGGGGCAAACAGATGAGCATGGTTCATACAGCTTTTATGGTTTCTTAGGTGAATACATGGTAAACGTTAGCTGCGGCAACAGAACAGAAAATTCTACTTTCTCACTCAGCCGTAGTGATGAAACTAAACACTTTAGCATTCAGTTGTAACACCCATGATTCTAGTCTCACTTTATACAAGGGAAAACTAAATTATATTTTAAATTATAAACACATCTTCTGCTTGCACGATTTAAACTAGACAATTGACTAAACACGTCTACAAAAATTTCAGAATACGTCCATTTGGGAGTATTAACTCTCTTGCAAATATAAACAAGTCTACTAAGGTCACCTGAGGCTGTGTCTCAGTGGTCTATTACCATCTGGGAGAGGAGTTTCTGATAGCCCAATCCCATTGATATTGGGCTCGAGCCCTAGGATCCAGCGAGCCAGAATTCTACCTGCTTTTTCTTTTGTTTCCTGACAAGCAAATCGTTGGATTATGTCCATTCAATGAGTTCAATCAGCAAGCCACTACAACAGAATATGTTCTCCAAACATGCCTTCAGCCGGCAGCTTCCATCATACATTTGTTGCTCTTCAAAATCACTCTACTCTCTACTGTTTCCCTTGTGGTTTACATTTAAAGCATCCTATGGTACTTAAGGAACCTTATCTCCTTATCTTTAGTGTTTCTTCTTTCTGAACTCCATTAACCCTTCCACTTCTTCAATCAACTGCAATCAATTAGATAAGATTCTCATGGATATGTCCCCATTTATAAACTGCCTTCTTTTTTAAAACCTTCTTTCTGGTATCATGATTCGTGAATGGCCGCTACAACAACAATATCATAATAAATCAGGAAGAGACTTGACAGGGTAATGTAGTCAGTTCAATTATGGGTCATGATGAAGATATGGGGTGCGTGGGACCCGCCATGGAAATAATAGAGCGTTTGTGACATTATGTCGAGATTTATGTTCATTTGGTCCATTTCCCTAACTTATGCTGGATTCTGACAGCGTTGTTTATGATGTTGCATCCCTTAACAAACAAAAACAGAAAGAAAAAATAAGTCTATCAACTTCCGTTACTCTGGAACAAACTTAAATTGGAGCATGTCGCAATGCCAGGTGAATTTTCAACAGTTCTGTTCTATTCCATACTTCATCGTTTCTGCTATGAAGTTAAAGGAAAACCAAGAGCATAATTCATGGTTAAACTTTCTTACCTTGCTCAAATCTCTGCCGGAAACAAAGTCTGTGGTTTAAAGATACAATGCCTCCCAAGTTTCCTCTCTGATTGAGACCATCATATAAAGAAGCAACGAAATCTTTGATGACTAGGCTTCTCCATTATTAAGAAATTATGAAGACAATATTCTCAGTCCAGTGGAATCTTGTCTTTAGCAGGCCACGTTATGGTCGTTTAATGAGGTGATGATTAAAGGTTTCATTACCATATGCCTTGGAAGTGCCCTCTTCTTTATGCTCGCAGGCATTAAACAATAAGCCTTTGTCGTAGAAGTTGACTGAAGTTGCAGGAGTTCAATTTCTTAGAGCCAAGACGTTAAGAGGTTAATTCGAATATGCCAAACCGACTTACATCAGATACATTTAGCTAATCATTTTTAGCTAAGATGGTCAAAAAGTAAATTGACGTGGAACAAATTTTGCAGCTACCTTTGAAAAGTTGGCTCATCCGAATTAGAAAAAAGATTTTAATTTGGTAAAATTTTCAAGGGGAAATGATCGCACCAAGGACAAACAATCCCAACCACTTGACTTGTTCTCACTCTTCTGAGGTCCCATTTGATCATTTACTCGTAGTCTCTTGAAAGCTCAACCAACGTTCCGATGGTATTATTTACTACTATTAATTCCACTTCCACCGAACAAAGTGATGCTCCAAATCCATGGCAGACAAAGGCAAAAGCTGAGTTGAAAACTTGAGAGTTAGGCATCTTTTCACATTTTCACATTACAAGCAAGCTTTTACGGAAGATCTCTCGTTCTCTTTACAAACCCAATTAGCCAAAAGAAATAAAGAAGCAAAACTGGAAAAGCAAATATTAGCAAAAGACAAAACCAAAAAATGCTAGACCGAATCAAGAAATTCCCCCTGGATTCTGATGAAAGAAGAAAAAGGAGCCAACAAATCCCAAAATTTTAGATAAACAAACACCTTTTAATGTTATATAGCACACTGAAATTTGTAAGGGGGAATCTTGAAGCGGATGGTTTACAAACTGGACCAAGAATCTGTCCGCTTTTCAAACAAAGGCCATACCCCATTACCCATCAAAGCTGCAAATCTGCAAAGAATTCACATTTAACAAAAAAAAACAAAAGCCATGATACAAAGATAGAGAAGGGCTACAAGTAAAGAAATGAAAACAAGAGAGAGACAGCAGTTAATGCCATGAGAAAAGATTGTGGAATAGAGGGAGAGGCTGTTCTTGGCGAATCCCCCATGGCCAAACCTGCTAACCATGACCCATCTGTCAACATGGTTTGTCCAGATCCTGATTCAGAGCTTGAACCTGAACCAGAGTACCCGGTTCCAGAGTATCCATAACCAGAACTTGAATACCCTGAACCAGAATATCCATAACCATTACCCGAATATGATATCCCAGATTCTGACCCTGAACCTTGTGACGTTGAGCCTGTCGTTGGGGTAGCTTCTGTAACTGGTGTAGTACCTCTGGAAGATTTTTGACTGCAACAAGGTATCAGGAAGAAACCATTAATTTGCTTCCAGTAAACATACAAGTTAGACAGACTCATCTATGGAATGAAATCCTCGGCAAACAAATCAAATTACATTTCAAGCAGCCTACCTCATTAAAACACGCTACTCCACCTTTAATCTTTTATTGACACTTACGCCACATCAAAATGGTAGGAAAAGAAAAGAAGAGAAAAGCAGGAATAGTGTTTTATTGTTATGAATTACCCAAAAAACCCATGTATATCCTTAATTAACCCCCAACTGAAGTTCATAAAATAGGGAAATTTAGAATAAAAATCTTGCTGACAAAAACAGCTCAGAAAAATAAATGGTAAACAAACACTAAAGTGTAAACTATATCTATCAACATTTTTCATTTCATTTTAAGAGTTTAAACAGCAAAAATGGTAGTGAAAAATTACCTGGGAGAAGAGGGACAAAATGTCACCGTATAATCTGCTCCAGTACACGTGAATGTGCTTGTAGCATCATCGTACGCGTAGCTGTAAGATCTCGGACACGCGGCCTTGAACATCTCCGAGTAAACCGACGGTTTACACGTCGCGGGTGTGCTATACGCGCCACTACAACAATATTCGGGGCTCCCAAACGCCTCACACGCGCTCTTGCAAGCATCACCTTCCCCAACCCGGAGTTCCGAGGGGCATTGCCGGTTTAAGTCAGCTGTACACCCGGTCGAAGCACAAAGACCCGACCCGCCACTTCCTTCAACGATCATGGGAATATTGTAGCCATCAACGAGGCTGACGTCATAAAAATCTTGCCCTCCTGTTCCAAGGGTGAACTCAGCCAGAGTTACAGGCGGAGCAGCTCCGAGGCCGTTGCATTCCATCTGACCCGACCCGCAGTCGCCTGTTTGGCAAGTTCCAGAGCCGGATCCGTCGAATGTGCAGCCCGTTCGGCCCCAGAAGCGACCCGACCAACCCGTTGGGGCTTGAAATGAACGAGATGAGTCTTTTGGGAGCTCGAATCCGGTGCTGTCGAGTCTAGGACTGCCTGCATTTGCTAAAATCCCAGGCCAGACAGTGTAGTCACATCGGTTGACAAATGTGAAAGAAGCACCTGATGCGCCTGATAAAAAAACATGACGGGTTCAATTAGTTTAAAGATTAAAACTTTGACATGCTGAGAAACATAAATTCCGTGCTAAAAATGTGAATGTGAGCGAAACCCAGAAAAGAGGGAGCTTGGCTAAACCTTTGGAGGTTACAAGGAAGACAATAAGGTTGAGAACGAGAGCTAAGGAGCTAACAGAGGAAAGATCCATGAGGATTCTGCTTCTTCTACTTTTTCTGTTTCTATTTTCTTTCATTTCTTCCTTGCCTTCTCTCAACTTGCTTTAAGTTAGGTAGCTACAAGATTTCCACTGCAGAATGGCTTGTGAACAGAGAGTATTAGCTTTATGGTTTCAGAAAAATAAGCAAATGGTGCAATAATGGGAGAACACAGGACAATGCAGGGAGTAGGGGCTTCACTTTGCCCCCTGAGAGAAGGGGCAGCGGTAAGAAATGAAGCAGTATATTGGTGAAGAATGACAGAAGAGATAGGGAGAGGTCAGTGAGCAGGAGACTGATCAGTATTGGCTGCTACTGTAATATAACACTAGTTCCCACTTTCTTCCTGTCTTGCTTTGTTTTAATCTCCCAGCGTTTGTCTGTTTCACTTCGTAGCTTGTATATTTTTTGTATTTTTCCTTGATTGTTTAAGTATTTCATTTGTCTCACAGCACTCATAAATGCATGTTCTGTTCTCTCGATGCTTGTCAAAGTAAGCACCTTTTCCCGTAAATTTTTCCACTTTGATAGAAAATAGTACTATTATAATTACTATTTATGTTTTACTATCCCTTTAATAAGCAAAACAAATTTCTTTGTCCTCTTTTGTTTGACTTCCAGCCTTTTTGTTGTTTAAAAAAAGGCCAAATGTACTGTTTATGCTTATGGGAGGGCAAGCTCGGGCTTGGAATTCCAAGCTCAACCTCAAGCCTAGTCTTGTGAGCCGAGTTCAGATAAAAACTTTCGTTAGTAAATTTGGTTTGTATTTGTAAGCCTAGCCCAAATCCAACCCAATTCCCAAGCCTATGGATATTTGTTCCTCACAAATACGCTTACATGAATTAGAAATTCTCTCAATGCTTATTGGCGACATGAATTCAATTCAAGAAAGGTTTGGAAGAGTTTGTATTGGCTCTGTTCTGAGTGCAAGAGATCCTTAATGATCTGTTCCGGCAGGGTGGTGGTGGCGGCGTCGGCGGCGGCTTAGCTGTGAGAGCTAGAGTGTAGAGTAGAGGTCAATTTATAGGAAAATAAAAAAGGAACGAGGAGTATCCGATAACCTAGGTTAGTGCATAGTCAAACACGTACTCGCATCAGTTGTGCTGGCATTCATTAACCTAAGTTCGAGGAATTTCATATTGTCCGAGCAACAATAATGGATTCAATAGGATTAGAATAACGGGTTTCCATCGTTTAGGGCAAACAGCCAATGCTTTCCAAGATTTTAAATTTATGTCACCTTTGGGGCGCCAGAGTTTTACCGTCACTTAATTTATTCATTGATCAGTAAAATGAAAGATAAATACAAATTCATAATTGCATTTTGTTTTCATATCTTTGCCCAAATTGAACCATAACCTTTGATATGATCATCTTAAGAAGGGTAGAATCATATAGTTTCGTGATCTAGTCCTTACATATGGATGAGATGAAAAAGAAAGTTATTACATGTTTGTTATAAGTTTCTCACATGATATTCTTTTGTTTTAAATTAGCACATAGTAAAACTAATTTATTTTTAATTAGTATCTTATAGATAATTCTTGTTCCTATAAAAAATTACACCGTTAATTTTTTATTAAAATTACAAAAACACTCTTAAATGTAAACAAATTTGCTACCTTTGAATTAAAAATATTTTGATAATTTTATTGAATAAAATTAACCATCTATTATATTGTGAGTACAAAAATTGTTCACAAAGTTGTAATTAAAAAAAATCATAAAACGCTAAGTAAGAAAAAAAACTATGTATTATCATTTGAGAAAATTAAAATTTAAAAAGTATAAATATTTTATACCTTTTTATCATTTTTAAAAATTTATAAAGTTGATAAAATTTTCATTTTCATTCAAGTTGAATGTAAAATAAAGCAAATCTTTATATGGTATGTTCATATATGAGAATCCATATGACAAAATTGTAGGATACAGAGTGATTTCTTCATATGTAGGGATGAGCAAATGTGAATCAAACTGAATACTAAAGCAAACCGAAATGAGTTTAATTTTTTTGATTCAGTTAGTTCGACTCTTTTGATATTTCGATTATGATAGTTTAATTATTAAAATTAATTCAATTTAATTTTAATTAAAAATCTAATCAAATTTATTATGAATATTTTGCATAAAAAATAAATCATAAATCTAATCTCTTTTCCTTTTTAATTCCTCTTTAATTGTATAAGTATTTATCTTATTTATTATAATTTTTTATTATCGTGTTTAATATTTTTATGATATTATTTTATTAAAAAATATAATATAAATAAATATATAAATAAAAAATAATAAATTTATCAAATTTAATTTTAAAAAATCGAACTGACCTAGTCGAATTAATTGGATTTCGAATAATTCAATTATTTGTATAATTCAATTAGATTTTGATAATTTTTAAATATAAATTTAATTAATTTAATTATTAAATATTTAAAATAAAATTAATCAAAATAATCGTTTCCAGACCCACTCATACTAACGAGAAAGTCAAAAAAAGCGATGAAGCTTTGGAAATAATAGGTCCCACCTCCAACATCCCTTTCCTTTGATGTGACACTTGTCACTTTGTGTGTGCTGTCATCACCCACGTTGTTTACAAAAACAAAGGTTATCGTTTTAAGAATGACTGAGATGGACGAGCTTTGAGCCACGTGTTATCTTTCTAATGGCTTGTTCTATCCCACATCACGTTAAGCTGACCGTTGAATTGGATGCCACGTCGGATGCGCAAGCGCAATTATGGGAAAAGCATTGGATTCGATGCTCTCGTCTTTTCATGTATTGCCACTACATATTCATTGCAAAGCAGGAAATTTTTGACTTAAATGTTGAAAATAATGTCAGAAAATTAAATTAGGAAAGAACGTTATCCTAAATTAAAACAACTTTTAATTAATCCACTTGTGATTTTGCCCTTTGCTTGTTAAAAAGTACCAGTGTTGCGGAATCCATGCTAGTAAGCGGCTAGTTGCAACCTTATATATGTGGGTATGGTATATTTTTATAAATAAAATATTAATCTTGTAATAAAGTGATATTATAATTAATTTGATTTTGATTTTATGTTAAGTATTTCAATGAATGGAATAGTGACTTGATCAGCAACAAAAACGTCACGGATTGAATGAAAAAAAATTTGAATTTATAACGTGAACAATGTTCATCATATTAATATTTTTTTTAAAAAAAATAATGCTACCGTGACATGTGGAGAATGAGGTTTCCGGACTAATCCATTGTTAGCTCCTCCCACCAACAAATGCATCGGTAGAATATAGTTTTAACTTGTAACTTGCAAGAGTTGTTACCTGCTAAACTCTATTTCCTCTCGCATGGACTGAACCTTAATTACTTGGTTTAACAATGTAAAGAATGAATAGAAATTTTTGTCCAAATTCTTTAGTAGGAAATGCTAATAAAAAAGTGATTATCATAATCCTATCTAAGAAGAGCTAAAAATATTTGAGTTACCCTTCGCTTTGAGAGAAATTGTACTAGCCAGCAGGCCCCTTTACCGTTAGAGGGTAAATATGCAGAGGAAATATGATGATGCTGGAAACAGGACCAAGGTAATTCCAACCTGTTAAAGGGTAAGTGGCAAGTTGGCATGTTTCTCTTTCTGGTTTCCGAAATAGGAGGGAAATAAATTGGCAAAAGTTTCCTGTGTCTTTCGAGAGACTTTAAGAACCAAACATCTATTTCCTGCTTCAAAACAGATGTTTCACACTCTTAAAACTTGATTCCCTCCACTTCCGAAGAGGAAGGGTATATTACTACTACAAATTCAGAAGAAAAAAAAGCACGTTCCCATGGAAAACGACTTTTATCTATAATTATTGGCATTGATATGGAAACAAGGATCTTTGTCTTTTGGGTGCCCGGTGTTTCCTCAAAGACATTGAGCCAAGAGATGTCCTCTTTTACTTCATAATTAGATGTAGTTAATTACGTCCTCTCAAGGACTAAGTAGGTCCACGAACTCAGGATTACATAAGCAATGTAACCCACCTTTCTTGTAGAAAATTAGGGAAGTTGTTAATCCCTAAAACTAATTGGATTTAGAAATATTACCCTAAACCCCAGAAGAAAAACTGGTAGTAGTGTGCTGAATTCCTGTGCGTGATTTTCGTATCTTCTCGTACAAAGTAAAGCTGCCCTCGTGTTTGCTTTTGACAAAGTGAACCTTTTCAGAGAATAAGAACCAAGGTAAAAATTTGCATTATTATAGCTGTTCCCCTTGACAGATGGGGTCGATCAGTCCTGGCTCCCATGTGACTATATAGTTGAAAAAATTATGCTTGAATTGATCGGATGGCATTTGGTGGCCAGAGAATTAATTTCAACAAGAAGTTGTGTTCCACGATGCATGAAATCTTTGTAACAAATTTCTTTCTCCTATTCTTCTTACAATTCAAACAAGAATTCGAAGAACTATAATTTTTTTTTTTCACTTTTATGTTTAAATAAATAAAGAAACACAATCATCGTGCTGCATGCCTGCACAGTCGAGCTCAGAGATCTTGGAAGCAAATTGAGTAAACAATATTCAAATCTAAAGCTTGAATACTTTAACCTCCTTTTTGGTGTAAGCATGAATGACAAGAAAAGGGAAGATTTGCATCTCGTATTGAAGAGAAATAATGACTGGATCAAAAGCACATGATAATGGAACCATCGCTTAGAATTTGTAAGCTATACATATATTCTGGATATACATTGGCCAGGGTTTTGAGATTATCCTATGTATTTCCATCTCGTTTATTTCTTAAGTAAGTTATTCTAGCATCAATCCAAGAACAAGGTCGTTGAGGTATTGCTTTAAAATTTCCAATTATATATTTAGAATGATTGTACCTTCAATCCCTTCCTCCTAGTATACTAACTAGAATATACTGTTGGTACTTTTTTTGTTCAGTTGTATTCGTTTCACAACTGTTTCTCTTCCCTTTCTATGAGAAAGTTCCCACTATTCTGTAATATTGGCACTCAATTATCCGAAAAAAGAAGTATTCCAACCCTTGGTTCAGTAATTGGTGTACGACTTTTTTATTGAAAGACCAATCTTTCCTTTGATAATACATGTATAACTTCAATCTCATGGCAATTAACCTTCTGTTACCCTTGTGAGTGCCAGGCAGTGTCTTGGACCCATGCAGATTACTGAAGCACGTTCGTCCTGCCAGAAACGGATGACTACAAATAAGACCACCATTGGTTAAGCCACAAGCATAACACGTAATTACTTAGGTGTCTCGTAGTCAATCGAAAATCTTCAAAGGATACTCTCCGGCTGCGCTCTAACTGAACACTTCTAGTATTCCCAGGAACAAATTATTCATG